CCATGTGCTCACTGGACTAGCACTTTTAATTTCTTTCAAAAACGTTTCCTCTGCCTTCACAACTTGGCTGTTTGGCACAAGAGGCCTAGCTTTTGGCCTGTCTTGGCTTTTGACATGCCTTCTTCACTAAGTTGAATCACTTCGAGCTTTTGATTTAAAGTGAGAGACATATCACTCTTCCTTTCACCTGACACTTAGAGGCCATTGTAGGGTTATTAACTGGTCGAATTTCAATACTGTCTCAGGGAATAGGGAGGCCCCAAAAGAAGGAGAGAGACAGGAATAGCCAGTGGATGCAGCAGTCAGAACACACTCATCAATTATGTTTTACAGGGTGTGGTTTGTGGCACCCCAAAGCAATTACAATAGCAACATCAAAGATCACTGATCATGTTTACAGAGATTATCCTGGGGTCTGAACAACAAAAAAAAGATCACTGATCACAGATCACAGATCGTAGTAACAGATATAATAACGATTAAAAAGCTTAAAATGTTGTGAAAATTACAAAAATTTTAACAGAGAGACAAAGTGAGCATATGCTATTGGAAAAATGGAGCCAATAGATTTGCAGGGCTACCACTAACCTTCCATTTGTTAAAAATGCAGTATCTGGCCGAGCATGGTGGCTCACACCTGTAATCCCAACACTTTTGAGGCCAAGGCATGTGGATCACAAGGTCAGGAGTTCGAGACCAGCCTGATCAACATGGTGAAACCCCATCTCAACTAAAAATACTAAAATTAGCTAGGCGTGGTGGCATGTGTCTGTAATCCCAGCTACTTAGGAGGCTGAGGCAGGAGAATCACTGGAACCTGGGAGGCAGAAGTTGCAGTGAGCTGAGATTACGCCACTGCACTCCAGCCTGGGTGACAGAGTGAGACTCTGGCTCAAGAAAACAAACAAACAAACAAAAAAAGCAATATCTGGGCCAGGTGTGGTGGCTCATGCCTGTAATCCCAGCACTTTGGGGGGCCAAGTTGGTGGATCACTTAAGGTCAGAAGTTCAAGACGAGCCTGGAAAACACGGCAAAATCCCATCTCTGCTAAAATACATATAAAAATTAGCCAGGCATGGTGGTGCATGCCTGTAGTCTGGCTACTTGAGAGGCTGAGGCAGGAGAACTGCTTGACCCTGGGAGGTAGAGGCTGCAGAGCCAAGATTGCACCACTGCACTCTAACCTGGGCAACAGAGTGAGACTCCATCTAAAAAAAAAAAAAAAAAAAAAAAAAAAAAAAAAAAAAAAGATAGCAGTATCTGTAAAGCATAATTAGGTGAAGCACAATAAAACAAAGTATGCTTATATATACTGAAAAATGTATTGAAAAAATATATATAGTAGAATGAAATGGAAGTGATGATGTTTCTTGTTTAATGGCTTTGCCTTTTTCATCCCCTTATTATTTTCAAAGATATTTTTATTGTTGAGCTGGAGTCCTGTGTATTAGTTTATTCTCAAACTGCTATGAAGATACTACCTGAGACTGGGTAATTCATAAAGAAAAGAGGTAATTTATAAAGAATCAATTTAATTGATTCACAGTTCCACATGGCTGGGGAGGCCTCAGGGAACTTACAATTGTGGTGAAAGGGGAAGCAGACATGTCTTACATGGCAACAGGAGAGAAAGAGTGTGTGTAGGACTTTGTAAGTCAAACACTTAGAAAATCACCAGATCTTGTGAAAACTCACTCACTATCACGAGAACAGCATGGGGGAACCATTTCTATGATCCATTCACCTCCCACTAGGTCTCTCCCTCAACACATGAGGATTATGGGGATTATAATTTGAACTGAGATTTCGGTGGGGACACAGAGCCAAACCATATCAGTCCTGTGAGAGCAAAACAAATACTGATTCCAGGAAGTAAACATGCGGCTGGGCTTGGTATCCTTTCTTTTTTCCTTTCATCCTTTCCATCCGTCCGTCCATCCATCGATCCATCCATCCATCCGTCCATCAAAAAATAAGAATTTATAATTCAGAAACAAAATGAATGTCACAAGGATGCCTAATAACATATTTATTGAACTTAAAAATGGTGTCAGACCTTTACTGACAACAAACAAATATGGTATGACTAACTGGCTTGACAGGGACTGGCTTTGTCAACTAGATTATAGAGCAGCCAATTTTCATACATGAATGAGCTACATTAGCAGGTTCAAGGGCTTGACAAAAATACATTTAAAAAAGCATATGGTTTAAAAGCATTTTATCAAAAAAATGGATACTGACAAATGTTTATTAATGCTAGTTTAATTATCTTTTCTGGAATATTTTGAGTTAAACAGACTGCCTCTAAATAAAAGAGGAGCAAATTTAATTTACAACTGTTTGAGAAATTTGGGTTCAAGGTTTTTGATGTACTTCCCAGAAACCAAAAAAACTAAATACCTTTAAGGCTGAATAAAAATTCCTTTTGTTAAGTTAGATAATTGCCAATTCTTTACTTCCAACATAATTAGAGAAAGACCTAAGCAAGTTGTCATTTTTGGTCCAGAACTCAGAAGGAATTTAAAAAATTAAAAGAACTAACTGCCATGTCTATAACAAAACTCCTACCATCTCATGTATTTATTCATGAGTTCTCAATGCTTATCTCTAAAAATGAAAAATAGGAAAAAAAGGTAATATCAAATTCTTTCTTATTCCAGTAGTATTATTTGTCTATTTCTTTAGAAACTAACTTTAAAAGCCTCTTCATTCCATTATAAGTTGAAACTTCAACGCAATTACTATTTCATAATTATTTTGATGAATGACAATTCAACAATATTAATGATACATTAACATTTATTTTTTAGATCAACTGTGAGTTCATTAAAGCTGAAACAGTAACTTAGTCTAGGAGAACTTTCTTTTAATACTCATAATATCTAGAAATCTATCTTAAAATTCATATGGATGCACATATACATACACGTATGTGTTACATAAGTATATAATGGGGTATGATCAATAAGACTTTCAAGCAACTAAATCTATTACATCAGAAGAAAATGTGGAGGAAAAGAGAATTAAAAAAACAAGCTGGAAGGGAAGAAAGAAATATAAAAGTTCTAGCTGTTACCGGAGAGCTGTTCATGTAGTTTTTTTTAATGGATAAAGGTGGTTATAAAATCACTATGGATGTAGATTCCAATGAATACATTTAAAGAAAAGACTTTGAAATGTCAATATTTACAACACACCATTTATTTTCATAATTTCTGAGAAGTATATTGAAAGGCTTTACTTTACTAAGACTTACAAAATGACTATTAAATGATTCCTGTTTCTCTTTCACTTTTAGACAACTTGCTTAAGTCAAATACTCAAAAAGGGTTGGGAAGAGTGAAATATTACTACAACTTTTGCAACTACCTTGACAAAAATGTGTATGTTACCTTAAAATAAATAAGAGAGCACACAGCTTTACATTATTTTGAGGACATATAAGCAAAGGCATTTGAAGACCATTGCTCTAAGGAACTTTCCCTGGGGAATGGCTTGGCCTGCACCAATTTCTCATGGTTTTGTGAAGTCTCAGGAGTCAGAACTAAATTTTCTGGTCACTTCATTGGATATTCTTGACTGTGTTTGGCAAACAACAGAATCTGAGTCCACAGCATTGGGGTTCTCCCACTTTTCCAAGTCCTATGTGCGATGGTATGACCCAAGATCCTCTCTGGGGTGTTGGGAGCCTTGCTGCTCCTCCCACCAGCTCCTCCCCTCCTGAGCACTGCCTGGGAGCACTCCCTAGCCTCAGCCCTTATTCCCCGTCACTATCTCTCCCAGTAGGACTTGGCTTAGGGAATGCAAAGAAGTGCGATGCATCTGACTCACGCTGCCTCTTGTCTCTTAGGAAGCTCTCTCACTGCCCATCCGAGACCAAGGTTAAGGGAGGGTTTAGGGTTCCTCCATATCCTTCTAGCTCTATTTTTATTTTTTATTTAAAAAAGAAAAACTTGTTTTTCAAGTCTCACTCTGTTGCCCAGGCTGGAGTGCAGTGGTGCAATCATGGCCTACTGCAGCCTCGATCTCCTGGACTCAAGTGATCCTCTTGCCTCAGCTTTTCCAGTGGCTGGACTACTGGCATGTGCCACCACACCCTGCTAATTTTCTTATCTTTTTTTGGTAGAGATGAGGCTCTCACTATGTTGTCCAGTCTGGTCTCAAACCCCTGGGCTCAAGCAATCCCCCCTCTTTGGCTTCCCACAGTGCTGAGATTACAGGAGTAAGCCACTGCACCAGGCTAGCCCTACTCTTAAATGGGAAGCACACAGCAGAACCTTTAAGTGAGTGGTGCTGCCATTGTTCAGTTTCTCACCTTAGCATTACCATTACTATCAGCAAAAAGGTAAGCTATTAAACTGCATAGTGCCTCAGTTTCCCTCCCTGGTGATAACATAAAACCAACTGTGCAATGAGGTAGACTGAATGCAATGATACCAAGCATGCATACAAGAATTTAATCAATGAAGCTATTATATTATTAAATGCAACATTCAGAATTTTAAAAGTGAACTCAAGAAAGGAAAAGGTGGGAATTAATCAACAGGATGCAGGCCCCCTTCCACCAATGGAGTGCCTCAGGAGGCACAGGGTGGGAGTGAGTCACCCTAAAACCTCCTGTCCCTCAGCCCCTGGATTCTGTGTCTTTTGTCAAACCTGGTCCCACTGGCAGCAGCAGCCAAGGCTCTGTTCTGAAGGTGCCTGCAAATCTACTCTAATGAGAAAAGTTCCTTATTCCTGGGAACTGCTACCAGACACTCAGCTGCTGAGCAGGAGCTTCCCAACGCCTGGTTTTGCCCACTGCTGGGCTTGGCCCACAGACAAGAGGGTGCACATGAAGACCCTAGTGTTGCTGCATACAGCTAGCAACATGTGCAAACCTCTCATGCTCAGCAAGAACCTCCTTCCCTGAATGTCCTTCTCCTCATGGGTGGGTGGAGATGGCAGAGGCATGGCAGATTGACGTGGTCCTGAGTGTCTGATTAAACAAACTTACTTGAAAAGGGTTGGTAAAAATGAGGACCGGTCTGGCTTAGCATCCACTGAATCTGAATCTTCACTTGCTGAGTCCCCAACTCCCTGCTCTTCAACACAGCCCTGATCATCTGCCATCTGCAAAGAGAAAAAACAAGCCACAAGGTCAGTGGCATCACTGACTTTGTGATATTTTTAAATGACACTCATTAGGTGACATGGTTTTCAATTATGCCTAGATGTGAGCAGTTTTGCATATTTAAGCTTCAGGGTTACTGCCCCATTAATGCATTCAAATAAGTAAATATGCTTACATCCCAGAGACTACATATATGGCAGCAAAGAAAACAAAGTCCTGGCCCTCAGGGAGCTTCTAATCCAGCATCTACAATTTTGTTGTATGTTCACTGCATACAAGAAACAGTGGAAGATTTGTCAAGGTTTACAACAACGAAAAATTCCCCCTAAATTCCTAGCAGGTCACTGAGTGCTCATATACAGTTCAAAAACAGCGACAATCTGGAGTATTAGGCTCTCTTTCTATGTCAGATGATTTTACATGGCTCTATACAAAATAGATTTCCATCAAATTACATTCCTGCTTGAGAATCTTCAAGAGATCCCCATGAACTACAGGTTCAATCCGTCTCCTTGGATTTTAAGGCATGAACCTCCTTCCTTGAATGTCCCCCTACCCATAGATGGGTGAAGATGGCAGAGAAATGGCAGGCTGATGTGGTCCAGAGTCCCTGATTAGTCTGGGAGTCAGCATACTATGGCCCAACACTTGTTTCTGTAAGAAGTGTTTTACTGGAAAACAGCCATGTCCATTCATTTACGTATTGCCTATGGCTATTCCTCTCTACAAGCAGAGTTGAGTGATTATGGCCACAAAGCCAAAAATATTTACTACCTGGCCCTTTCCCACCCCTCGCCCCGCCTTCATTTCCCACATAGCCTTTGTATGTGGCTTATCTGTACTCTGCTGTTTGGCTCCCATAAGACCATGTAAGTTCATCACAGCAGAGGTAGCTGGAGTACAGAGGTTTTACTAAAATATTTAATTAAACAGAAGCCTGGATGAAACACACACCCTAAGGGCAAAGAATTAGCTAAAGGTGATGCAGCTGGCCCAAGGTAGAGCCAGTATTGGAATCACTTTTTTTTCTTTGAGATGGAGTTTCACTCTTGTTGCCTAGGCTGGAGTGCAATGGTGTGATCTCAGCGCACTGCAGCCTCTGCCTCCCAGGTTCAAGTGATTCTCCTGCCTCAGCCTCCTGAGCAGCTGGGATTACAGGTGCCCACCACCACGTCAGGCAGATGGGGCCTGGCTTTTGGCCAGGCAGAGGTGGGCAGATCACGAGGTCAAGAGAGCAAGACCATCCTGGCCAACATGGTAAAACCCTGTCTCTACTAAAAATACAAAAATTATCTGGATGTGGTGGCACATGACTGTTGTCCCAGCTACTTGAGAGGCTGAGATAGGAGAATCACTTGAACCCTGAAGATGGAGGTTGCAGTGAGCTGAAATCTTGCCACCGCACTCCAGCCTGGCAACAAAGCGAGACTTTGTCTAAACAAACAAACAAAAAAGAATGAAGATGGAGACATTACAATAATGTCTTTTACAGTAACTTGGATGGAGCTGGAGGCCATTCTAAGTGAAGTAGGTCAGGAATGGAAAACCAAATATCATACATTTTCATTTATAAGTGGAAGCTAAGCTATGAGTATGCAAAGGCATACAGATTGGTATAATAGATATTGGAGACTCAGAAGAGGGGAGGGTGGGAGAAGGATGTGGGATTTAGAAAACTACATATTGGGTGCAATGTACACTATTTGGGTTACAGCTGTACTAAAATTTCAGACTTCACCACTTCACAATTAATACATGTAACCAAAATCTACCTGTACTCCAAAAGTTATTGATATATATGGACACATGTATATCTATCTATATACATATATATGTACATCCACATACATGCACACACAATGGAAAAGCAACTTATTACATACAAAGAAATACCCATAAGATCACCCACAGATTTCTCACCAGAAACCTTATGGGCCTGGAAGGAGTGGGATCATATAATCAAAGTGCTAAAAGAAAGAAACTGCAAACCACAAATACTATATCCAGCAAAGCCGTCCTTCAGAAATGAAGAAAAGGTAAATACTTTTCTGAGACACACAAAAAATGAGGGAGTTCATCACTAGATCTGCCTTATAAGAAATGCTAAAAGGAATACTTCAGGTTTAAATGAAAGGACACTCTAGCTACATGAAATACGAAGGTATAAAACTCACTGGCAAAGGTAAGTGTATAGTCAAATCCAGAAGATGCAAATAATTTATAGGTAGTCTTTGACTTACAATGGTTTGACTTAAGATCTTTTGTCTTTCCAATGCTGCAAAAGCAAAACACATCATGTAGAAACCATATTTCAAGTAACCATACACACATACTGTTTTTACTTGTAGTACAGTATTGATAAATTATATGAAGTATTCAACACCTTGTTATAAAATAAGCTTTGTATTAGATGCTCATGCCCAGCTGTAGGCTAATGTGTTATGAGCATGTTTAAGATAGGTTAGGCTAAGCTCTGAAATTCAATAGATTAGTTGCATTAAATGCATTTTTGGCTTATAATATTTTCAACTTACACTGGGTTTACAGGGATGTAACCCCATCATAGGTAGAGGAGCATCTATATTACTTGTGCATAAATCACTTTGAACTGTACTAAAGTTAAAAGACAAAAGTATTAAAAACAACTATAGCTTCAATAACTATAGCTATAATAGTTGTTAGTGGATATACGATATAAAGAGATGTAAACTGTGACACCAATAACATAAAACATGGAAGGAGAGAGTAAAACTGTAGAGTTTTTGAATGCCAGTGAAGTTGAGTTGTTGCTGTGGTCTGAATGTTTATGTCCTCCCCACCCCCACAAATTTATACATTTAAATCTATTCACCAATGTTATAGTATTAGGACATGGGGCATTTGGGGTGTGATTAGGTCACAAGGGTAAAGCCCCCACAAATGAAATTAGTACCTTTATAAAAAAAGAGCTGCCTTGCCCTATCTACCGTGTGATAAGATATCATAAATGAACAAGGAAATGAAACTTTGCTATACACTGACACTGTTAGCACTTTGATCTTGAACATGCCAACCTCCAGAACTATGAAAAATATATTTCTGTTGTTTATAAGCTACCCAGTTTAGGGTATTTTGTAATAGTATCCCAAATGGACTAAGTTGTTATCAACTTAGAATAGACTGTTCTAACTATAACGTGTTTTGTGTAAGCTTCATGGTAATAACAAGGCAAAAACCTATAGTAGATATACAAAATATATACAGAAAAGAAAAAAAGTATATCATCAAAAATGATCAAATCACAAAGGAGGGCAGCAAGAGAGGAAGAGAGAAACAGATAAACTATAAAGCAGTCAGAAAACAATTACAAAATGGCAACAGGGAGCCCTTTACCTATGAAAAAATTTCTTTAAATGTGAATGGTCTAATTTTCCAATCAAAATACATACAATGACTGAATAGAGTAAAAAAATAAGATCCAACTATATGATATTTACAAGAGACTCACTTTAGATTTAAGAACACACATAGGCTAAAAGTGAAGGAATAGAAAAAGATGTTCCATATGGATGGTAACCAAAAGAGAGCAGGGGTGGCTATACTTATATCAGACAAAATAGATTATAAGTAAAAAACCGTCAAGATAAAGAAGGTCATTATATTATAATTATGGACATCAATTTATCAAAGATATAACAACTGTACATATATATGCACCAACATTAGCACACCTAAATATATAAAACAAGTATTAATAGAACTGCAGAAAGAAATAGCACTAAATAATAGTAAAGGACTTTAAAACCTTACTTGCAACAATGGATATTTCATCCAAACAGAAAATCAATTAGGAAACAGTTGACATGAACGACACTAGTCCAAATGGACCTAACAGATATGTATACAACACTTCATCCAACAGGAGTAAAACACAGATTCTTCTCAAGTACACACAATACTCCAAGATGGATCATATGCTAGGCTACCAAACAAGTCTTAATTAATTTAGGAAGACTAAAGTCATATCATGTATCTTTCTGACCACAATGGTATGAAAACAGAAATCAGTAACAAGAGAGAAATTAGAGAATTCACAAATATGTGGAAATTAAGCAATACACTTGTTTTCTTTGAGCCAGAACAACAAAACTAGAAAAATCAGACATAAATAAATAAAAAGATATTCCATGTTAATGGATTGGAATAATTAATATTGTTAAAATGTTCATGCTGCTCAATTGATCACTGAACAGATTCAATGCAATCCCTATCTAAATTCCAAAGGCATTTTTCACAGACATATAAAAAACAATTCTAAAATTCATATATAGCCACAAAAGACACCAAAAAGCCAAAGCAAACTTGAGCAAGAACAGAACTAGAGGCATCACATTTCTTCACTTCAAATCATATTACAAAGCTTTAGTGATCAAAACAGTAAGACACTCGCATACAAACAGACACATGGACCAATAGAACAGAATAGAGAGCCTGGAAATAAACTCACACGTTACAGCCAACTAATTTTTGACAAGGGTGCTAAAAATATGCAGTATAGAAAGGATAGTCTCTTCAATAAATGGTGTTGGGAAAACTGGATATCCATATGCAAAACAATAAAAGTAGACTCTTATCTTACACCATACCAAAAAAAAATCAACTCAAAATGGATTAAAGACTTAAACATAAGACCTGAAAACTTAAAACTACTAGAAGAAAGCATAGGGAGAAAGCTCCTTGACACTGGTCTTGGCAATGAGTTTTTGCATATGACACTAATCCATAGACAACAAAGGCAAAGATAAACAAGTGGGATTACACCAAAATAAAAAGCTCTGCACAGCGGGAAGACAATAAAAAAAAATGAAAAAGCAACCTATGGAATGGGAGAAAATATTTACAAACCATATATCTGAAAAGGGGTTAAAATCCAAAATACACAAGGAACTCATACAACAGAATAGCAAAAAAACAAATAACTCAATTAAAAAATGGGCAAAGAACCTGAATAGACATTTCTCTAAAGACATACAAACAGGCAACAAGTATATGAAAAGGTGCATCAGGGAAATGCAAAGCAAAACCACAATAAGATATCATCTCACAACTGTTAGGATAGCTATTTTATATGTATATGTGTGTGTGTGTGTGTGTGTACACATACACGTAACACATATATAATGTGTGTGTGTGTGTGTGTGTGTGTGTGTGTGTGAAGGTAAGTGTTAGCAAGGATGTGAAGACAAGGGAATTCTTGTATACTGCTGGTGGAATATAAATTGGTACCGCTCTTATGGAAAACAGTCTAGAGATTCCTCAGAAATTAAAACTAGAAATCCCACATGATCCAGTAATCTCACTTCTGGCTATATATCCAGGGAAACTGAAATCAGGATCTCAAAAAGATACCTGCATTCCCACATTCACTGTAGCATTATGAAAACAATCTGAATGTCCATCAATGAATGAACAGATAAAGAATATGTGGTATATACATACAATGGAATACTATTCTGCCATAAAAAAGAAGGAAATCCTGCCATCGGAGACAAGGTGGATGAACCTGGACCTCATTATGCTAATTGAGATAAGTCAGACACAGAAAGACAATTACTGTATGATCTCACATCTATGTGGAATCTCACAGAGTCAAACTCATACAAGTGGAGAATGGAATGGTGGTTGCCAGAGGTTGTTGTCAGCGGGCAGGGTGGTTGCCAGGGGGCAGGGTGGAGGAAATAGGGAAGTAATAGTCAAAGGGTACAAAGTTTCAATTGTGCAAGATGATTAAATTCTAGAGATCTACTATACAGCATAGTGCCTATAGCTAACAACACTGTATGGTATACTTACAATTTGCTAACAGGGTAGATACAGTGAATGTTCTTACCACACAAAAAAATAATAGTATTAAAAGGTGTAGGAGGGAAATTTAGGAGGTGGTGGCTTTGTTGATGATGGTGATGATTTCGTCGGTATTATCTATGCTTATCTCCAAACTTGGTATGTATACATGCAATAAATATGCCTAGATTTTTATATTTCAACTATACCTTAATAAAGCGATTTTGAAAAAGGGGAAGACCCTAAGCAAAATGGCTCCTAAGAAAGCCAAGACTTTGTTTTGATATTATTGGAACTGCTGAGACTTTTGGAGACTTTTCTTCATTCATTCAATTGATATTTACTAGAAGTTAGGAATTAGGGATATATTTGTCAGAAAATTGACCTGGTCCTGCCATGTTGAGAAGCAGACATGAAAGAAAGAATGGCGTCTAGGTTGAACTGCAACTGTGGTGTATGCCTTGAGGGTGAACAATCTGTGGCCGCACCAGGGAAACTCAAGAGCCTCACAGAAATTAGGGAAAGTTCTCAGGGGTGAAAACATCTGACCTGAGAGCTGAAAAGGGGGAAGCAGAGAGGGCAGGCGGGAGCAATTCCGGCAGAGAGAACTGTGCACTCATGAAACATCTTAAATGTTCCTTCAAAGGATGTGTATAGCTTAAACTCCTCATTCTTTTCAGACACTAGGCAAGGGCTTTGGACATCACTACTGGGATGTAAAATTCAGGTGACTTCTGTGGCTCAATAATGGGACACTTTCTACAACTTTTCCTCTAAACAAGAGGACATTAAATCTTCTGTCTGAAACCTACAGCCTCCTTCTGGGTTGATGCTGAACACCATCTACAGTGACAGAAGGCGACTCCTCTAATGATCCAAGTCATGAGTGGTGGAACTTGACTCAAATCCCTAAAGCTAAAGTCAGTTACTTTCTTATTCCTATGAGACTGGGATTGATTTTTAGAACCTCCAAAAGGCAATCATAGCCCAGGGTGGTAACCAAGTGGGGGTGTCTGATCTCAGACACATCCTTTCAATCAAACCAAGACTTGGTTTTGACCCCTAATGTCCTCCTTTCATCATCACAGTGCACCGAGAAAATCTAGACCTATCTCAGTTCTGCCAAGCTGCCTGGGGAGGGCATGCCTGGCATTATTTTCTTGTATCTATTCCCTTCTTACAGTCCAGGCTGCAAAGAGCAGTCATTTGAGGGAGACTGCTTATCCCACTGTTAAATATGTCTAACTTCTCTTTAAATGAATTAATACATGAGACACTCAAAGCACTGACAATGCTAGGCACATAAGTAGTCTCGGTGGGTCACTGTAATTCTTATTCTTACTATTAGCCACAAGGACTGTCACTGTTTGCAGTCTGAAACCTTATCTTTTTTTTTTTTTTTTTAAATCATAGAAAGTGTCAGGTACATGGCAGGCACCAAATCCATATTTCTTTATAAACCGAACTTAAATGCATTTTCAAATCCTTCAGCCCCTTGAATAAACTTCTGTCCAAACAACAGAACCAAAGAGACCTAGGAGGGTGGTTGAGAACCCAGAGATCTGGGGCTGAATCAGTTGTTCCACATATTAGCCATGGGACCTCAGACAAAGTGCTCAAGCCTCTAAGCCCGAGTTTCCTCGTCTGTAAAATGGGAAAACAATGGTACCTATGTCACAAGTGGTTGGGTGGACGAATGAAACATTGCATGTAAAATGCTAGGTACGGGGTGGCACATTCAAAATAGTCAAGCAATATTCCCATTATCACCATTGTCCATGAGGCTAAGAAAATACGCAGCTGTCAGCCTTCGCTGATATTTCAAAACCATATCTATATGTTAAACAGATTTTGTGGGGACCCGAAAAAATTCCTACAGTGATTATTCCTAAATATGTTGAACAGGGACCCAAATTTTGGGGAAGTGGTACACTTCCCAGAAATCACTGCCCAGCTACTGTCTAAACTTTCTACTTTCATAAGGGGGAGCTGCTTTTCCTGAAAAGTGACAACATACAATTTGTGCCTCACTTCTTGCCCAATAAAGAGAATCTTCCTAAAGGGCACACAGAGAAGACCCCAAAATCTCCCCCTTTCTTCTAGCAGCTGGGGAGGGGAAAGGGAGGCTCTACTGGACACTCGAGTGCTCTGCTGTGTCACCCGAGGCTCATGGCACTGCTAGGCCAGGGCCTTTACCTTGGTATTCCAGAAACTTTAGTTTCTTCAGAGAGGTTAAGTAACCTCCCCAAAGCCACACAGTTTCCAGGTGGCAGAAGGTGGACTGTGAATCCAGGCAATGGCGGTGCCGAGGGTGAAGGTCAGGAGAGACCGAGGAGGAGGAGGAAATAGCCTGTACGTTGAGACAACCTGAGAGCCACAGTCAGCTAGCGCAGGAGCCGAGGAGTTCAAGAGTAAAGGGCAATGACATACCCACAATCACCTACAAGTAATTTTATTGCTCCATAAACTGCAAAGCTGTCGCCTGGAGCCTAACACTCCACACGTCTAAATGTCCCCGGCCTTATTTGCATCTCCTCAAGGTCCCTCTAGGAGCCCTGCAGCCAAGGATGCTCGGCTCCAGCGTACTCAGCCTCCACAGAGCCACTGCCGCGCGACGCGCACCGTAATCACCTCCGTCCATCCCCGCAACAGGCAGCGAGGATCACCCTGGTACCCATTCAGCAGATGGAGGATCAAGGTCCCACCGCCCGCAGGCAGGGCGGGAACCGGAACCCCAACGAAAGAGCCCGCGCTGTTGGCCACAGTGCCAGATCAGGAACCCTCCTCTCCCACATCTCGGCAAGTGCGAGGTGTCCCCCAGCCTACTCGTTAGGAGGGAAGGGAGGACAAGCTGAGCAAGGCGAGCGATGAAGAGCGCGGAAAGGGCCCTCTTCCCAAAGTTTGTTTCCGCGCCGGCCGTCGGGGTCACTCTGTTCCACTCAACCAGGCTCCCCTAGACCGCTCGGAGGCCAGCGGGGAGGAGGAGGCCAGGGCGCGCACGGCCGGCGGGCGGGAGAAGCGCCGGCGGAGGCGGGGGCTGCACTTACCTTCCTCAGCGCGGCCGGGCGGCTGGGGCCGGCACAGTCTCTGTAGCTCGGCAGCGGGGGTCTGGGGCCTCTTTAGCTAAAGCGAAAGTAAAGCCCCGGCGCCGCGAAGGGAGGAGCCGCCCAGGGCAGGGCCGGGTGGGGCTTGCGCCTCCCTTGGTTCGCAGCAGTGCGCTCGGCCGGGGTGGCGGGGCCCAAAGGCACTCGCGCCGTCGCGCGCACAGTGTCCGGAGGGCGCCGTCTGCAGAGCTGGCCGCGCGCCCTGCAAAGTGGAGCCTGCGGGCGGGAGAGCGCGCACAGCAAAGTTTTCAGCTTCCGGGAACAGCCCGGCCGCCGCGGGCCCTTCCGGGAAAACGCAAATCTGCCAGACTGGCCGCGCTCCAAGTGACCCGAAGAGCGCAGGCTTTGCGGTGGCGCTCAGTGATCAGGGGCGCTCTAGTGGTCGCCTCCGCTTCCCCGCCCCCAGTGTAGACCTCGACCCCGGCCTCCGCACCAACCCGGGGACCCATTTCCCACAGCCAAAGGCTCTTCCTAGCGAGACCCGGATCCCAGCCGGAACTGCTCGCGTCCCTCGGGGGACTCCCCGCCTGCCTCGGCATGCGTACCCTCCAAGGCTGATGCGCCTCGGGCCCGCGGCGGCCTCGGCTGTGGACTTCTGGCCTCCCAGACGGTGTTTTGCGGGGCCGCCCTCCTGCGCGGGTGGGCGGAGGACGCTAGCTCAGCTTTGAAGGAAGTACCCACCTGGCAGCCCAGCTGGCTGGTGGAGACGCTGCGCCTGGATCTTTCGGGAAATGTTTGTTGCGCGCCCCCATGTGACAGGACTGGGTATGCGGCCGGGAGTGAGTCAGGCATGGGAGAGCACGTCCACGGATTTCAGTAAACCCTAACCCCGCAGCACACACACACGGATTGCAGTTCACCCTGACCCCACAAAACACACACGGAATCCAGTTCCCCCTGACCCTGCATCTCTCTCTCACACACACACACACACACACGGATTCCACTTCACCCTGACCCCACAAAACATACACACACACACACACACACACGGATTCCAGTTCACCCTGACCCCACAAAACACACACACACACACACACACACGGATTCCAGTTCACCCTGACCCCACAAAACACACACACACACATACTCACACACACACATACGCGGAATCCAGTTCCCCCGACCCTACATCTCACACACACACACACGGATTCCAGTTCACCCTGACCCCACAAAACACACACACACACACACACACACACACGGATTCCAGTTCTCCCTGACCCCACAAAACACACACACACACACACACACACACACGTCTTTCTTCATCCTGTCTCAAGGAAGCAGCTAATTAACTCAATCACACTGAGGTATAAAATACCTGAGAAGAAACTGTAGTTTAGTCATGTCAGAGACACGGTATTTATTTTTAGGAACCGTCAAATCCTTGAGTGAATGGAGTGCAAGCTTAGCGGTCTGACATCAGGCAAGAACCCAGTCTTCCTCTTTTTGTTTTCTTGCTTTCCTGTGGGCCTGAAACTTCAGTATTTGTCTCTCAAATCTGTTCAGGTGAGTACGCTTTCTTGATTTGAAAAAAAGACTGGGCCCCGGCAAGTGTAAGGGAATAATCATAATTGATTAACTTATGGGAAAATCCTGAATTCCTGAATGTTTTAACTGGCAGTGACAATTTCTAATGTGGCTGCCCTAGTCTTTTTTTAATACCCATGTTCCTGAAATGTTGGAAGTAAACTAAACTATTTAGACACTAAGATAATTTGCTTTGTAAAGAAATGGATTGTGAGTCATCTGAGAAACAAATGCTATTAGTAAAGCAAATAACTCTGATTTATTTAATTTGTAAATCTAGGATCTTGCAGGTTATTCCTGCATGTAGTGAATCAGTGTTACAGCTAAAAGAGGCGTTTACAACGAATCTCTGTTCATTTTCTAGATAAAGAACCTGAGGCTCAGTGAAGTTGCCACATCACAGACTTGGCAATGGCAGAAGTGGAATCAAGTTGCCTTAAAAAAATAATTTTTCATTCACAAGAACGCTCTATCATAAATTTTATCATGCAAATGTCACAATGTGTTGGCATTCAGGAATTCACATCTGGCTCAAATGAAGAGGTGGTTTGAAAGGAAACTTTTTTTCTATTTACATTATTATTATATTTTAAGTTCTGAGATACATGTGTAGAATGTGCAGGTTTGTTACATAGGTATACACACATGGTGGTTTTGCTGCACCAATCAACCCATCGTCTACATTAGGTATTTCTCCCAATCGATCCCTCCCCTAACCTCCCAACCCCCCTGACAGGCCCTGGTGTGTGATGTTGCCCTCCCTGTGTCCATGTGTTCTCATTGTTCATTTCCCACTTATGAGTGAGAACATGCAGTGTTTTGTTTTCTGTTCCTGTGTTAGTTTACTGAGTATGATGGTTTCCGTCTTCATCCATGTCCCTGGAAAGGAAACTTTTTTTAGTTCCTTATTGTGGCCTGGCACGAGAAATTCCAAAGTTATTGCTCTAAGGCTGAATTATCACAGTATCAACAAGGAAATATGAAAGGGAAGACATCATTGTGAACTTTTCCCTCTGTAATAATTCTACTGACACTTCGTATTCAAATGATGTTTTCTTGTAAATGTACATCCTCTGTCTCTCCAGCCTTGGGCCATGTGATTGTTTTATGTTTCCTTTCTATAGTCACATAATTATAGCATGAGCCTTCCCCCTCATTCCAGAAAAGTCCTCCAGCCTCCCCTATTTGGATGGTTTCCAAAGGGGCTTATAGGTGCTCTTGGGCCAGTCCCTCTGAATCTCCCCTCTGGTTCTCCCTTCTGTTTGCTGGTGAATTCCCCATTTGCATCCTCCTGGGCATAGCACCCCTGAGGGGTGCCACCAGTGATTGCTTCTCCAATTCTCCTCAGGACAGCTCAGGCCAGGCTATGACTTTATACAGGACTCCATGAAGGACATTGCAAGATTAACAGAAATGCCATTCTCAGTACTCACAAGCCAAACCCAAACCCTGGCCCTTGGTGAGGCCTCAGCAGGTTTCTGCCAGATGGACAGAGTAGGAAGCTCAGGGTCCAAAAGGAATTTCTTTCTTCCCTGGAAGAAGGAATTCATGTTGTACCTGCTATTGATTGATTGCCTCACAACTTCAAATTTATCCTTTTTGTCTGCTCTGTGAAAATTGAACTAAGCCTTTTAAGTAGTTTTCCCTTGCCAGTGGCCTGATGTTTTGTGTGTGGGTGGGTGGGTAAAGGGCGCTGGAGATTCATCATAGGATGGAAGGAGTTTTGCTTCCTGGTTCTGGTGTGTCTGGTGTGCTCCTGCAGAGGGCATGGCTTCTCAGCATCAGGTTCTTGGAGTGTAGCTGGTGACCAGATCACCCAGCAGCCGCCAGGTTCCCCTGGCACCTGCTTCAAGTGGTTTTGTAGAGAGGGCCTCTGTTACCAGTGGAGGGTCTTGACTAAGAGTTGTCCAAGATCTTGGTGTTTTGAACAAAGAATTGGACAAAATGCATAAACAAAGGAATGAAAAAAGAAGCAACAAAAGCACAGATTTATTGAAATCAAAGTTTACTCCAGAGATTGGGAACCGGCTGGAGCCAGTGGCTCAAGAGCACTGGTTGCAAAATCTTGTGGGTTTTAAGTACTCTCTAGAGCAGGCGTCCCCAAACTAAGGCCCGCAGACTGCATGCGGCCCCCTGAGGCCATTTATCCGCCCCCCCACCCCCGCACTTCAGGAAGGGGCACCTCTTTCATTGGTGGTCAGTGAGAGGAGCACAGTATGTGGCGGCCCTCCAACGGTCTGAGGGACAGTGAACTGGCTCCCTGTGTAAAAAGTTTGGGGACGCCTGCTCTAGAGTACTTAAACCAAGTAACCTATTGGTTACTTGGTTACACCCTATGCACATGAAGACTTAGCCAGAGACCAGTCTGATTGGTTGCAGGAGGTGACCAATCAGAGGCTGAAGTGAAGTTACAAAGTTACACCCTATGCAGATGAAGACCCGGCTGGTGACCAGTTTGATTGGTTGAAGTGAAGGCTTCCGGTCTCCAGAGCCTATTCTCCTGCCTCACCTTCACTGAGATGCCTCATGAACTGCTCTCTCTCTGGCACCTAGAGGGCGGATTTCCAGAAAGTTCTAAAGGACAAATTTCTAGCAAGTTTCATGGGCATGGCACCTTGATGACTTCTCTGTCATCTAGGGAGAGCCTCAGCCATGGTGTCTTCAACAGGGTTTGGCTCTGACCCTTTTTTTTTTTTTTTTTTTTGTAATGAATTTATTAGTTGTACGTTTCAGCTGTTCCCCACTGGGCCCTCACAAGCCAGTGTGAGCTGACTCCAGCATGTGCTGCCGGCAGGGACAAGACCCCGGGAGGTGAGGGGGAGATGAGGGCATACTCTGGGTGTCTATCTCAGCTCTAGGGATAGTGGCTAGTTGTGTTATGTTCTTAGGGCTGAATTGTGTCTCCCTAAATGCATATGTTGAAGTCATAATCCCCAGTACCTTAGACTATGACTGTATCTGGTAATTAGGATGGGCCCTAATCTGAATGACTGGTGTTCTTAGAAGAGGAGGTCAGGACCCAGACAGATACAGAGGGAAGACCGTGTGAGGACTTAGGGAGAAAGTGGCCATCTACAAGCAGAGAGCGGCCTCTGAAGAAATCAGCCCTGCTGATACCATGATTCTTGGATTTCTAGCCCCTGGAACTGTGAGAAAATACATTGTTGTTTAAGCCACCAAGCCTGTGGCACTTGGTTATGGCAGCCCTAGCAAAACAACACATATGTCATTTGCAAGGATATCTGCTACTGCTGTAGTTTTCAGAGTTCTCTTTACTTCTTACTAACCAACCTCTTGATATTCTAGCTCACTGTTACGGTTTATAATTTGTTATACAGTTGATCCTCCATATCCCCAGGTTCTGCACCTGAGGATTTAATCAACTGCAGATCAAATATACTTTAAAAAAAAAGCAAAAATAACATTACGATAATACACATGATATAAATTTAAAAACAGTGCAATAGCTACGTACATAGCATTTATATTGCATTAGGTACTTTAAGTAGAGATGATTTAATGCATATGGGAGATTATACATAGGTTATATACAAATACTATGCCATTTTATATAAGGAACTCGAGCATGCATGGATTTTGGTATACTCAGGGGCCAACCTCCCCATGGATACTGAGGGATGACTGTGTTCATTCAGCTTACTGTGTGGTTTCTCTCTCCTGAGTGGGCCCAGATGGATACACCTGTGTATCCCCAGTCTAAGCACTGCTGTGGGGTCCAGCCCTATAGGGTCCCCTGAGTCCCTCTCTGCAGGTGTGGAGACGAGAAATTGTAGAAATAAGAGACACAAGACACAGAGATAAAGAAAAGAAAGTTTGGGGCCAGGGGTCCACTGCTATCCAAAGCATGGAGATCGGCAGTGGCCCTGAGAGCCTGGACACTCTGACTTTTATTGAGTACAAAGCAGGGGGAAGGGCAGGTAAGATGAGGTAATGGTGGTCAGTGATAGGGTCAGGTGAATCACGTGTCTTGGAGATGGGGGCCCAAGACTTTGAAGAAGCCGAGGCAAGGAGAAAACCTAAGGTGTCAGCATTTTTTTCATATTTGTC